ACGATGCATTTGTACATGTTGATTGCACAATTTTGAATTCCAAATACAGTACATTCGTTTGTGCTTGTGACTTCATAATTCAATTGCGTTATTTCTTGGACTCTTAGTGCTATAATTCAAATAATTCGAAACTTCATAAATATTCTCATGAAATTCATTAAGAATGCCATTGCAGAGTAATGGATCATTAGAAAAACTAGCATCTATCAAAACTACATCAGGTTTTTGATCATAATTATGTTCACTCAACATACTTTCTTCACATTTGCAAGGAATTTCATCGGAAATTTGTGAATTATTAGGAAAAACCATACATGGTACAATAGCATGAGAATTCTGATAAATCGATTGGTGAGGAACTGTTGTTTCGCAAGCATTCAGAACTTGATTTAACTCTGAACTGCTTTGTGACTCTACACTGTCTATTGCAATCGTTGATAAAGATAAATCATCATTATAAATACTCGACTCAGTAGAATCAGAATTACAAAACTTAATATTAGTTGCAGTAAGATCAACATTAGTATTACAGACTGACTGAATATATCCAATATCATCACATTTAAAGCACTTAGAATTACGAAATTTACATGAATTAAAAGCATGGAACTTGCCACAGGACAAACATTGACCAAAATGGCGCACTGCAACTCCTCAATGAATTATCTGCATAGCCTTGAGTATGCACTGGATTGGGATGACGTGATGTAGTAGAATTTTTGATGTCCTGATGAATCATTTTAAAAATTCCCCTTCTTTACTGCAATCAAAATTCGCATACTTAACATAGTCCAGTAGTAATTCCTTGAGAGTTGTATAAGGAAGCGAAATAGGCTTTTCAGGCATAGCCAGAGTTCTTAATAAACTGTATGCTTCTTTGCCTATGAATGTGAGGAAATATGCCACAATATTAACATCCTCATCATCTTCCTTGGTCATAGCCCAGATTTCGAACATTTCGAAACAATCCTTAAAAGCTTCAGAAGTTGAATGAATGTCTAACTTTTCCATTGCAGGCTCAATCGCGACGCCAATATGATGTTTCGAATTATTTGAATTATAGCACTAACTAAGAGTCCAAGAAATAACGCAATTGAATTAAGAAGTCACAAGCAAAAACGAATGTACTGTATTTGGAATTCGAAATTGTGCAACCAACATGTGGACACTTTTAAACGAGCATTACTGGAAGGGGGAGGAGAAGGGACGACTGAGCAGGCGATCACAAAATTTTTAATATCATACAGATCCACCCGAACCCAAATGTTCAAGACGGTAAATCTCCCGCGGAAGCCATGTTTGGAAGGCGTATTCGAACAGTCTTCGATGCCATGTTGCCATCCAAACTAATGGATGAGCGTAGTTGCGATCCAAGTATCCGGAACTTCAGTATTGGCGACAAAGTCTACAATAAATTCTACATCGGGAAGAACCGATGGGAGCCGGACGAAGTGGTGCAAAACTGGGAAGAGTACTGTAAAATGTTCGAGGAGCTTTTGGGACATGTATACGCCACACAAATCAAATCCTTAAGGTTAAAAGGACGGTGCAGACTCGAAGTAACCGGCCGATTTTCCCGTTAGATTTAGTTTTAGACGCACCAATGCCACAAACGCCCAAGAACACTGAAAAGAAGCCTAGGACAAGGAAGACGACAAGAATAATGGGACGCCGTCGCAATCCAGTTATCAAACTACAAGTGGATCCCAGAAAGAAATCTTATTCGGGAGAGGTGTTGGGTCGGCTTCGGGAGAACTTCAACGGAGCCTCCAGAGGCCCACAAGGACCCGAAGAGTCCTAGCCAATCAGAGTGTGATGGAACGTTCTTGAATTCCAACGTGGCGTGCTACTATTGGTCGGTAGCATAATGTGTTGTTATCGGGTTGGCCGTAAAATGATGTTGATTTAACAAACGCCAAAATCTATAAATACCCATGATTTTCTGTACAAAAATGAACCTTAGGATAAAGTATTTTCTCTTATACTTGTGTCTTCTCTCTGGTGTTCAAGTCGCTGTGTAGTTCTAGACTGCGGGTTACCGAAATAGCTTAGGAACAAGTATAGCGTTCAATTGACAAGACTTATAAATTAGTCAATTCAAACATCACAATATTTCAGAAGAATCAAATCCTGATGTTATATCATTTATTATCTATCCTTATGATGCATTTACTCCTTGTGAAAAACTTTTTCAATGCAAAGCACGAATACTAAATGAGCTCAATTTTGATTACAATTCCGATGATTTCATATCAACTGTTGTTCATCCTTATCACAAAAACACTTCTAATGTTTACTCTAATCAATGTGAGAAATATGTTTTAAATGAATCCACATTATTCATAACTTGGGAATATAAAGACCCAACATTATTTCGTGGGTGGGAGGATAGCGTTGAAAAATCTATGGTTCCAATTCGAGATATGAATCATTTCAGTGAAAAACCGATATGTTGATTGTATACAATTCCAGGTGAGTCTGTTCCGTTTTCGTTTGTTAATTCCCATACTAATGAGCACATTCTAGATACTACAAAGTTTTCATCCAGTACAATGTCGGACAGACTCAGGATGAACTTAACATGAAAACATACAACCGATTGCAAACACTTATACTTCTATTTAAGCTGTGGCGGATGTGGTGTTTGAATTGAATAATGATACTTTTGTACATGTTGATTACACAATTTCGAATTCCAAATACAGTACATTTGTTTGTGCTTGTGACTTCATAATTCAATTGCGTTATTTCTTGGACTCTTAGTGCTATAATTCAAATAATTCAAAACATTATAGGATCTCATGGACCAAGGATCATCAAAGCCTCCTTCAAATAAAAGAAATAGGTCATTTCGATGAACGTCATCCAATGCTATGCGCCTACCGACGACTACAATAAAGATGCTGAAGATCAATTCTACGATAGGTTGCAGTCAATCGTCGAGAAGTGTCCATCAAAGAACCAGACTATTCTGATGGGAGATTTCAATTCCAAGGTTGGAATGGACAACACCGGATATGAAAACATCATGGTACGACACGGACTAAGAGACAGGAACGAAAATGGTGAGAGATTTGCAAACCTTTGTGTCTTTAATAAACTGTTCATAGGCGGCACCATATTTCCACATAAACACATTCACAAAACCATATGGACGTCACTGGATCATACTACACAAAACCAAACCGACCATATCTGCATCAACAAAACGTTCAGGAGGACGGTGGAGGATGTGAGAACCAAGAGAGGAGATGATGTAGCCTCAGGTCATCACTTGCTGGTCACCAAGATGAAATTGAAACTCAAAAAGCACTGGACAACGGGGTGGATGACATCACAGAATTCTAATACGGCTTTTCTTCGGGATACTGACAAACTCAACAAATTCAAGATAGCCTTCAGCAACAAGTTCCAGGCCTTTCATGATCTACTCAATGGAGAAGGAGAGCACCTGGAAAGGGAACAAAGAGGCGATCACTTCAACATGTCATGATGTATTGGGCCACAAGAAGCACCATCACAAGGAATGGATCACTGTTGATACACTGGACAAAACTTAAGAAAGAAAAAAAGAAGGCATCAATGAATACCAGTCGAACAAGAGCAAAGAAAGCAAAGGAACAAAATGAATACGCAGAAATAAACAAGCAGATGAAGTGGAGCATCAGAACTGACAAACGTAAATATGTGGAAGATTCAGCAATGACGGCGGAAAAGGCTGCAAGCGAAGGAATCATGAGACAACTGTATGACACAACAAAGAAACTGTCAGGATATCACGGTAAACCAGAACGACCATTGAAAATCAAGGAAGGCGAGGTAATCACCAACATTGAAGTACAACGAAACAGGTGGGTAGAATACTTCAAAGAACTCTTGAATCAACCAGCTCCACCGAACCCACCCAAAATCGAAGCAGCACCCACGGACCTCCCAATCAATGTTGGTCCACCAAAAATTAAAGAAATCAGAATGGCCATCAGACAAATCAAGAGTGGCAAAGCAGCAGGACCAGACAACATTCCAGCAGAGGCATTGAAAGCAGACGTAGCGGCAACTGCAAGGATACTCCACATTCTCTTCAATAAGATTTGGGATGAGGAACAAGTACCAACAGACTGGAAAGAAGGACACCTCATCAAGATACTAAAGCGAGGCGATCTCAGCAACTGTGGTTACTACAGAGACATTTGATAGCGTGGACAGAACAACACTAAGGAAGCTTCTTCGATACTACGGCGTGCCTCAGAAGACAGTCAATATCATACAGGACTCCAATGATGGATTAAACTGCAAAACCATGCATGTAGGACAGTTGACAAATTAAACTCGCAAACGCAACAAAAAATGCAGCATAGCTACAACTGGAGAACATTTTGAACTAAAAACAGCTGTCCACAAGCCAACACCATAGTCAGAATTTTCAATAAAAAACAGTTTTACTATATGGGGCGGAAACCTGGAGAACTACGGAAGTTATCAGCCAGAAGATACAATTATTTATTAACAGTTGTCTATGCAAAATACTTCGGATCCGTTGTCCGGACACTATCAGCAACGACTTACTGTAGGAGAGAACAAACCAGACCCCAGCGGAGGGAGATATCAGGAAAAAGAGCTGGAAGTGGATGGGACATACATTGAGGAAAGCACCCAACTGCGTCACAAGACAAGCCCTCACATGGAGTCCCCATGGCCGAAGAAAAAGAGGAAGAACAAAGAACACATTACACCGAGAAATGGAGACAGACATGAGGAGAATGAACAAAAATCGGATAGAAGTGGAAAGAAAGGCCCAGGACAGAATGGGTTTTGAGAATGCTGGTGGGCGGCCTATGCTACATTAGGGATAACAGGCGTAAGTAAGTATGTAAGTCCTATTAAATAAAAAAATCGTTGATCCACATAGAAGTTCAAGGAGTGAAGTCTTTTCCCATTCCGTTTACAACCGTTCGAAAGCTTATGTTAAGTTCTTTTGGCTACCTTGACGCTTTCTGAAGGCCGAAACATTCTGGCGGCTCTATGATTTAACATGTCGTAAGCCACTCCGAACTGGGCTCAGCCACCACTTAGTTTCGTTTGTCAGGTTGTCTTAATTCTGCACACGTGTTACCCTTAGTTGTTATCGGCTGATATTCTTGATAAACGTAAGTTGATTCTTTGTGCTTATTGAGTCATTGGTTCACATTTACATTGTTATTTTATTTCCAGATTCTCGCACACACTGCCCCTCACACCTCAACACACAACATACCTTCAGGCTAAAAAGAAGGCCATTGGAGGTTAAACTTTATAATGTTGCCTTCACATAATGATCCAAGTCATCTACATTGCTCATCTCCAACAAATGTTCATGATACTGAAAATCATGTGTCTAGGACTTTCGCAAATTCCTCCGCAGATCTCCATAAGTAAGTATTTTAAATATCCCGTAAGATTTATGCTGCCTCAGGAAACGAAAATCGAAATGGACTATCGACGATATAGATATTGGGAGAAAACTCGGCGAAGGTCGCTTCGGTTCAGTGCATCTTGCGAGGGAAAAAGCCAGTCGATTTGTCATTGCTTTGAAGGTCTTTTTTCATTCTTGAAAACCTAATTTTTAGATACTTTTAAAGCCTAGACTAGTAACAAAGGAATTAATGAAACAAGTGCAACGAGAAATAGAAATACAGTCACATCTAAAGTAGGCGTTTTATGTTCTTCATAATAATTCTAGACACCCAAATATTGTTCGTATGTACAGTTATTTTTATGATAAAAAGCGTATTTATTTGGTCCTTGAGTACGTACCTAGAGGGGAGTTATCTAAAGAAATAAATCGTTTTGGTCATTTTGGGGATAGTCGCGCAGCAACTGTAAGTTTATTGATACTAAATGCACTTTATATATATATATATATATATATATATATATATATATATATATATATATATTTGAACGAGCAGTGAAATCACACAAATAAGTGGACTGCCGCCAATCAACTGCAACTACAGCAAATTCAGCGGAAAAATTCCTATTATTTTAAATTTACAATAGTTTTCGAGAAATTATTTTGTGTTATAAAATTCTTGTCGTGTCTCTTAATAATGCCTTTTGGTGTGTTTGGCTTCTAAGAATGATTTGTTCCGTGTCATGTGATTTAGCTTTCATTCAACCTAAATACTGTCGAAATATGAATATGTATGAAACCTTGAGTACATATGTGTCAGATAGTCTATTATATATACCTCAACATATATTTGTTCGAAATCCCTTTTTATTTCTCCATATTGAGACATGAACGTGATAAGAAAGTAAGTAAATGAATGCCGGGTGATATTAGATCCCAAATATTTACGTATGGAGTTGTACATACATACACATTGATTATAGGTATTCTGTGATCTTGTTAATGAGCAACTTAGAAGACCTGTTTAGAATGACTACATACACTGTCTACGCTTTGCAATGACATTACACTGTTCATGTCGCTTTTGGGTTTTATGAATCATAACAAGAAACACCAAACTCTGACCGAGTCTACGCCATTATTTTTATAAGTATTCATTGTCTTTTCTCTTGTAATTGATAATCAAACTAATTACTATATAGTGACATTCAGTTCATCACAATAATGGGACTTTTAGAGATTCCGTACCCAAAACACAAAAGAATTAAATGATAAGTGTTTAACGTGTATTACCTGTACAGAGATATATAAGTAGTCTGTACCGGAATTGAAAGAAGTCCAACGGACGAAATAGGGAAATTAAAGAGATGAGGAAGGAAACCAGAAAGTAACCAAAGTAACAACATGGATGAAAGAACAATGGAGTTTGTAAGGGGTAAGCCAAGGAAGATGGGTAAATGGTGTATTGTTTCCATATTTAAGAAATACAGCGTATGATTTTGCTTATACAATGAGTTGATTTACTACTCAAGACTTCGTTCATTAGAAGGGAATTCTAGACGCAATAAAGAAATAGACAATACCATATGGATAATGCAATGTTTGGTAAAAATTAGTGTTGGTGTAAATTGACTCATATCAAAATTTTACACAAATAAAGTCAACAGTACAGTCCATTTAGAAAGATTGTGTTAACATTGGTCAAAAACTAAAAAGATTTGGAATAAACGTCAAAAACCAAAAGTGTATTGAAACAAGGGAATTTACCTAGGGAGTAGAGTGGTCTACTTTCGGTTGTCACAGGTTCAGATGACCGGATAATATGTCTAGTCCCCATACAAAATTTTTGGCTAATGGTCGAGTCCACGGACTGAGTTACGCTAAAGCCAATAGCATATTTGTCATCAATAAGAAATATAGCTAACGAACCATACACATTCTGGATAACTATTATCAAGTCTTCTGAGTTTGTTTGTAATAGGGGTTATCACCTTTAGCCTGGTAATTACTTTTTGTCTTTTTATATGTTGCATGATTGAATCTAGTGGTACTTATTCGGAATACCCACCTACCCCTCTTCTAGCTTATTATAGATATTTCCCCGGAAGTAACAGTTCTTTGGTCTGAGCTCTAAAAACCTTGAATAACACTTTAGAATGTTCGGGCTGAAATTATTTTCACTCAAATTCAAAATATTTCATCATAGCTGATTTATATCGGTGCCTAGCTGTTTGGCGCTTCGCTTACCCTAAGGTTTTATCAGCCGTAGTAGTTTGGTGACTGATAATATCCGGATACTATAACAAAGGATTCTCTTGACATTTACTGATATATATATATATATATATATATATATATATGATCTGCAGTACAGATGCTACACAAGTATATCTAACTGAGAAAAAGTATGCTCCACAGAAGTTTTCTCCTTGCTATTCTACTGCTTCCAAACAACTTTCATGATTAAAGAACATGTAAAGGTTTAAATACTTTGATCATAGGTGTTTTTGCAGCTTAAGCGTACGGTGGGATTCCAGCTAAATACAGTAAATCATTTGATGTTATGGGTCACCACCGACTGAGGTAATAGGGACTTATATTCACTCAAGTATTGCCTACTTCAACCTACCTAGATGTTACGTTAAGAGAACCGTAGGAAGTTTATTACATACTATCAGTTCTTTAAACTTTTATTCTGAACTGTATTGAGAGATGTAGACTTATTGTTTGGAGTTTGTCAGATAATTTTAACCTGTGCTTGAAGACCTTAAAAAATTTGGTCTTATTGATTTAGGTAGGTTCATCTCTTTTTTATTCTTGTAAATCTGTAACATTAGTTCATCACTACTGAAATTATTTATCCCTTCTTCACTTTTTTCGCTTATTGATTTCATCGACTTTTCAGGTGTGAAGTGTGACAGACTAGATAGGTTTACAGTTATACTAAGCGTTACTTTGTTCATGTCGACATGTCTTTGGGCTCAGTCATCTGCAACGTGGGACCAGGCATATATATGCATCGTTCCGAGTTACCATGCCTCATTAGCACAACAAAGTCAACACCAAATTCATGGAAGTAGTTACGTCAGTGATAGTAATATGCAAAAGAAAGATTGCATACAAGGATATGATACAAGAAGAAAGAATTAGTGCGTAGAAAGAAAGATGTAAAGCTATTTTGATCTCACGGTTTAAGGGGAGACGAAGAGTATATACACCGACGCCATTGTGATCGATTTCCAGCCGTCATCAAGAGTCTCTAACCACTCGTCACGGTAGTCACGCGGACCCCAACCAAGTCGTCTGCATCTACCAACATGGCGCAGACCAGAAGTTAGTGATTTCAAGGATTGATGCCACGTTTTGGTTTGGCCACCTCTAACTTTCTTCTATCTACATCCAACACTAATCAGCGTTTCGCGTCGTGATAATCGGTGTTCAGCCATACGCAACATATGGCCCAACCATCTCAGTCGATGAAGATTTACAACCTCACCAACTGACTTGCCATTATTTCCTAATACCCTGCGTCTAACCTTAATATTACTTACCCGATGATCCCAGCAGATGCGAGCAACATTTCTAAGGCATCTGTGGTCAAAAACTAGTAGCTTACAAGTATCTTCTACCATTAATGGACACGTTTCGCAGCTACGGAGTAAAATAGGACGAACTGCCGCGCGGTATATTCGTTCATTAATTGATAGACCGATATCTCGCCTTCACCATAGGTAACGTGATTTGGCGAAAGCCAAACTAGCTTTCTAAACCCATGCTGAGATTTGTTAGACATCAACCCATTAGGGCTGATCAGATTTCCAAGATAAGTGAAGTTGTCGATGTTTTTGATTACTGCACTCGTTATCCTAAGTTCAGGTGTTACCGTAGTCCAGTCCTCAAGCAATAATTTGAATTTAGAGGGAGAGAAACGCATTCCAAACGTCCTGGCATTGTTGCTCAGTTCTGCCAAAAAACTTCATTTTATCGGCGTCTTCACCAAAAGGACTATGTCATCGGCGTATTCTGAACCAATAAGTGGAACTCCTGTCAGTAGATTTTTCCATAAATATCCAGACGACGAAAACGTTATTTCCAGCAGTAGGTCTATGATGAAATTTATCAAAAATAGAGATAGTGGACAATCTTGCCGGACACCACTTGACTTTTAAAAATCAGGTGACAGTTCGCCATAAGCTGTGATTCCAATAGTAGTGTTCGAGTAAAGAGTCTTTAAAAGATTTATGTACTTCTGAGGTACGCCTTTCAACGAGACTGCTACAGAACCTCTCGGTCTACAGAGTTAAGAAAAACTATCGTTGTGGGACGCCGGTTTTTGAGCTACATCAGTAGTCAACGGTTGACTGATCACAGTTTATAAATAGGCTATAATCTGTCTTTAAGAATACCTTGAAACTCTTTCCAGTAGTGTCGAAAAACTCATGCTTGTGTTGTAAATTGTAGTCGCATCTGTTCCTTGGTGTTATACAGTTTTTTCCTCTTACATTATTATCGTTAATTTTAACTTTACATGGTTTTATGATTCATAACTCCCGGTGTTTTTAATATTCTTCAAAATTTGATACTTGAGGACAGATATCACCGTATTCTTCATAACAAAACAGAAATAGTATTTTTCAATCCATGGTCTAACAAATAAGAGTTGACTTTTTATAAATATTTTAGAATGCGAGACACCTGATTTCTGTCTCCAAGTGACAACGAATGGTCGAACATAATTTCGTGTCCAAGTAAATATTAAGTGGTTGCACGTGATAACACTTAGTTGTAGTTCTTGTCAACGTCACCTAGATGATTTTGTGATCATGAAATCATTTTAAGTGGCACGAATAAGTCGTTTCATATTTAATTGCTTAGGTTTATGATGTCATTTATGTTCATTTATATGAAGCTGACCTTATTTACATATATAACAAGACGTGTCGTTCATGTTTTACAGTACGTATACCAGCTTTCCAAAGCTCTTTCTTACTGTCATCAAAATGATGTTATACATCGAGATATCAAACCAGAAAATATACTTCTTGGAGCTCGCGGTGAAGTGAAGATTGCAGATTTTGGCAGCGCAGTGCACTTACCAGCTTCACGGTAGGTTTTGTTTCTCTTTTTCGTACAAGTTATTAGACGTATGACTACTTTTGGTACGCTCAATTACTTGGCTCCCGAATTGTTCCATTTGGAATGTGTTCATGATCACCGTGTAGACATATGGAGCTTGGGAATACTGACTTTTGAGATGCTTACCGGTAATTTACCCTTTGATGGTGAAACCTTCCAGGAGATTTCCGAAAAGATCCAAAATGCTGATGTTTCATATCCAGATACATTAAATCTGGGTGCGACGAAGCTCATTACTAGTGTAAGTTCATTTCATAATTATAGTATTTAATATTTCTCACTTTTCGATTACTGGTTGATTATTGTGTACATTGAGATACTGTCGGTATTGTATCGAAAATAATTTCCTAGGAATATAGTGTTGGCTTTAAATGGAGTTCATGTTGTGTGAAGTTAGATTATGCTAACGATAAAGCACCATACGAACAATATATTCGAGGAAGTTAACTTACTATAGTATTTTGCAAATGACTTTTTCTGCTTAATAAATTACTTGTTAGTGGCTTTCAAATTTCTATTCTTAGATGCTCAAAAAGCTGTCAACTCAAAGGGTTTCTTTAAATGAAATCGATAATTATGACTGGATTAAAATGCATGCTGAATTTTCTGTCAATCAATGCAGAGCAGCTCTTCAAGATTGGGAAAATGTTAATAATCAGTATTCTACTTGTCCTTCATCTAGTAGTTACGAAAGCTCATCTACATTTGTAAATACATTTTTAAACGATTGATGTTTTCATATATTCAACATTGCATTACCACTTGTTATGTCTTTCAGGATATCTTAATATAACAATTAAAAAGCTTATCATTTTAATTATAAATGGTTATCATTTTTACCATAATCTATATGCTCATATATACATGTATTTGCGTGACATTAACCTCTTTCACTATTCTATCATAAATACCTGATAGACATGTTTTATGTTATTATTGCGTATATCTGTAAATTAATTACACATATTTATCGCTGATTCAGCAACAAACCAATATTTGAAGAATGTTATTTTATTGTTGCATATTTAACTTACGGAAAATTCTAGGAGTCTGAACTTTTTTATTACTTAAATCTTGGGGTATTGTCTTAAGATTATTAAAGTTGTACAATTTGAAATTTATTTATTTAAAAGATTCCATCTTATCTATATACTGACCTCTTTGTAATCTAGTGATGAGATATCCGGTTGACACATTAAGCGGTTGTGGTAATTTTAAAAGCTCATAATTTCACCTTTATTAAAATTAAACTACTTGTAAATTTCCTGTCGAGAGTATCACTACCAAAGTTTAAGATGTCATTTTACACTTTTGCTTTGAATTTCATTTATTAACACGGTTCGTTGTCTAGCCACTTGTCCATGTTCAACAAGATGAACTGTTAGTCAGTTGTGGGAAATCTCAACGGCTCTATTCTCATTAAAATAGGTGTCGTTATCATTGTCCAGAAGTGCAATAAAAGCTTCACGCATCAACCAACCAGCTCGGAGAACATAAAACATCCAAAGTCCTCGTTTTCAGCAAAAAACCAAAAATCATCTCTGTTTTAAGTAGATAATGAACTAGGTTAATATGCCCTACAAACAGTTTACAATGCAAAGGCATTTCGAACATTCTTCTTTGTTTACTTTTAGTAACGAGAATCCTTATAGCATATTAGAGGAGCTTCAACGACATTTCGATCATCTACAATGTAGGATTACGCTTCGGTTTACAAAATGATTTGAACTAAGGATGGTAATAGAATAAAGTTTGTCATAAAACAATATTCACGTGTTCATGCCTTCTGTTTAAATTAGGCACTAGATTGGCGGCTATTAATAAAAAAATATCAGCCTTCGTCCCTTCTATTCCTTTTGTTTGCATTCTGTTTTGTTTTGGTTAGATAGGTTTGAAATTCATTAGCTTTGGCAGTCAACTCATTCATTAATTTAGAGATCCGAACTCACCAAAACCTATTGTGTCAGAAAGTAATATAAGCATATAGATGTAAAGTCCCTGATTCACTAAACTGCTTTTACTTGGATGTCGTTACTAGGTTTAGCATTATTCTTTTATGCTTTCGTCACTTGTATTTTGGATTATTTGTAGCCACTTAACTAAATTATTTACATTCATCCGAGTTCTGAGGATTTTCGCTGCTTTTCAAGAAGATTGCCTGTTACCAAAATTAGTCAACCTAACCGATACTTCTAAGCTGACGCTAAGTTCGGGATTTTTTGAAGTACCTTTCAGGAGCTAAGTTGTCTTGGTTTCCTTAACTCAGGTTTATGACCATGAAGTTATAAATATATGCTTGAGATTGGTCAGCCACGTCTGTACGTATATCTGTTTCTCAATGTTGGGTCCTTAAACAAAACCTTATTAAATGTTATTAAGCTTCGCTAAGTTAGCTAATTGTGGTATTTTAGACGTTTCACTTTTCTGAATTCTACTTGCAGTTATTCTATGCTGTTACTCTAGATGCCGATATCCTGGAGAAATCAGTATTTAATTATCACCTAACATTGGTTCTCAGAGCAACACATTTTCTACATCTAATGGCTTTCGAATGTAGCAATCGCCAAGCAACTTACTTGTAAATAAGAAGAGAGTAACATTACAATAGCTTGGCTTGCTTGAGTCACTGTTACGATGTAAACGTAAATTAACGTTGCCATAATTATATAAGGATTCTCAGATTATATTAACCTAGTGGTCCAGTTAGTTTGATACAGTTATCATAAAATGGCAAAAGTCATTTGCTACATGTTTTTTTTGTAAATAAAGTTCTAAAGACAAAAAAAAGGAAAATTCGGTTACATATGTAGTCCACAATAATATGAAAACTAGTTGTATATCAACTGGATAGAAGATTAAAGAATAGTTCGTTAGTGAAATATCCACTCAATTTAAATGCAAAGTCCAAGGAAGCAATAAGCCAAACCGGAGTGAAGAAATGTCCAATTAAATGTTACTTAGTTCTCCTTCTATTACAATTAGAAGATCTGGTTAACTTGTGTAGTTGTTGATTTTAAAACAGAACAAGGTTAATTGATCCTCAAATTTCGCGATCTTTTAAAATGTAGACGCTTCCTTGTACCTGTAGAAAAATAAATAATGATCAAGTATTAAGTAGTTATTTTCATGTGAAAAAAAGTGTGAACGTTTTGCATAGTTAATTTCATGGGACTTACAAATTCAATTTATCGAGATGAGTAATTTTGTGAAGTGCTTTGATTACTAGTAAAGATCACCTCGAGATGTAGTATGGTATCTGGAACTTACTAGTAACTAGTTCTTGTTGACCTAGCTTCATAATTTTTTCGCCTGCATAATATTACTTTAGTCCATCCATTTCCATGGAAGATTTGTTATTCGTTTTATTAATTTGTTCAAGTTCTATTTTAATTTATTTTTCGTCAGTCTCTTCATACGTATGATAAGAAACATGCAAAATCGTCCGCCTGTTCCATTTAATGTTTGTTAGTGGCTATTTTAAGAAGCTAAGAATATTGTGATAGATCAATCAAGTTTATTATATAAACTGAATTAGTAATTTAGGAAGGAGTTTAATCCTCACATTTCGTATTACGAAATGAGTGTTGAATAAACATTCTACCAGTATGTTGCTCGCACTGTCTTTTTTAAAGTTACTTTATAAGATATGATGTTATAAGAATTAATCGTCATTGTTGAATAGCAATCTGATATTTAATAACTTTGGATTATTCATATTTAGTATATTTACAAATATTTGGTGTAAGAATAACGTTTAAAACCAATCAGTTATACGATTTTTACTATCTGAATCATAAACGAGATGCCTATTTTCTTAGTTCAGTGTTTCATAGTCTATGTTATGGTTCGCAGTTTGTTCCAGTTATCAGAAGCTTAATGAGTTCATGGTATTCTGCACAAATCATTCTTTACATTTATAAACGCAGAACAAGATAAATTGTTGTTCAGTGATCTATGATACTCACTGGTTGATTAAGTTGCATGTGTGTTATTTTTCAGATATCAGTAATGGAAAATGAAAACCCACGAAAATGGGTAAAGGATGTTTGTTAAGTAGTGGCATGCAAGTTTATTTCGTAATCTATAATTTTTCTGAATAGCATAATTTTCATGGTTGTACAAACAACATGTTTGCAATTACAATTAAGAAAAACGTCTATCCAATTGCTGTCGTCATAACAAATTACTAAGAAAAGTAAAAAGAAATTACTTGATAGTCTACAAACTGGTCAAAGCAATGGAAAACGTACAGAATTTCCAAAATTTTTAGGAGATGAAATCTATCAAACGGAACTGTAATCACAAATTAATGTAATTAAGTTTTGAGTTTGTCTCTTCTCAAGATCTCCATGCAAATGAGTGGAAATTCTAGCGAAACCGTCCAACTGACGATAGAGAAACTTACTATGAATGTGCACCGAAGTGGATCATCCAACCGATGGGTGGAACTCAGAAGAAAACAACATTCTTCCAGTTAGGTTTTAAAGAATTCACTGAACTAAAACACTAAACATTAGCTTAACACACTTTCCCAGCAAAAACAAACAGTTTACCATTCTCTTAAAAATTGATAATTAATGCCACTTATAACTAAAATTAGAAATGTAGAATTTATGGGAATAATGTAACCTAAATTACATAATTTTCTTAAGGACTAGAAATTAAAACTCCAGTCAAAATCAAATGAATCAATTTCAAAAACATTACAGTAGGTAATTATGGACTGAAGATAATCAGTGAACAAAAATGATTTTTTAGATACCATTTTTCTGTATGACAGATTTGAAAATGAAATAAAGCAAACTAGTGAAAATACTTTTATAAAACTTGTGAAACATACTAAAGGATACAGGTGATTGATTATGTTCATCGTTTCATTTAAGATGATTAACTAGATATTTTATAATAAAGTGCGAAGATCATATCACTTTTAGACTAGTCAGCCATAAAAATCATATACAGTTATTTGTGAATTAATTGTAAATGACTGAGTGCTTTCTATGAAACAAGCAGTATAGTGCTAGATATTTTGAACAAAACGCTCAGAAAATAATTACAATAATAATGAAATAAACAAAATCAAAGCTATTTTATGTGAAGTAAAATAATACGAAACAAGTTGAACCGTCAGTGACGTTCTATTATTTTGTTTTCCCTCATAGAAATAGTAACTAATTCTGTTTATTCCGTTTGATAAATTTGTAAAGAATACTGTAAGAGAATGTTTAACAAATCAATATTAGACTAATAGATTGAATTGAAAATAAAATCACCACAAATTATATAGGGACTTTCGTTTAAATTTGATCGGATAGTTTCACAGTGTTTGGGCGCCGAATAAATGTGAGACACTAAAGAGGAAGAATGTGTTAGTAAAATGTCAGTGAATGAATTTGAAGTGAATCCAATATTTTCACCGACCAAAAACAATATATCGTGAATGAAATTTTTTCTCACTCCAGTTACGTAAATACACAATCTGTCATCTTAACACTTTTCATTTCACACCACATGTATCTTACATACTAATGCAAATACCTACTTTAAACATTGTATACAGTGAACCGAAGAACCATGTACCTATTTATATTCGATAATTTTGATGTTTGATTGTATTTCCTTGAAAAATCTTGAACCAGATTGGTAGGCAAAACGTTGGACTTACTTCGAATTCATTCACTGAGATTTTACAAATACATTCTTCCTCTTTAATATCTCACCACAAATTAACTTATACTACATTATGTGACTATAATTTTATAAACTACTAAATTAGAAAGATTAATTAATAATAAATAAAAATGTAAATGACTTCCTTGTGATTGTTCTCCTCCGAATAAATTTGCCAATATGTGTAATTTTAAACAAAAGTAATAATAATAATTTTTAAGAAAAAAAACTAAAGGCAAGTTATATTGGCCGAAATAAAATGTGATGATAATAGTAACTGTTTAAATTTAAATAAAATAAAAATAATTTTCATTAGTTCATTATAAAATGTTTTGTGCTCATAAATAGGTAACTCACGATATATTAACATCGATCAGTCGAGTTGTCTCTTAAGCCTATAGATATAGAATATAAATATGATTGTATTTAAATCGGTAGATCGAAGATTATTACAAGTTTTAAATGACAAACATAACAAAATCTACATTTTACTTAAGTATTAATAATAAGAATAATAGTAATAGAAGCTAGTCAGGAGTTGAAACAGGTTAGGATAGAAACATTTTCAGTTTAGGGTGAAATTATATCATCATTTTTTAAGGTCAATGGAATAAAATTCAATAGAAAAGAAATAAGTAGGCTGAAGTTATCTAGTTATGGTATTTGTAGCTCATTTGAAAATTT